CTGTCTGAACTAGACCCAGGCGACTCCTGGTTGTCAACCCCATGCTCAGGTCGCCTGTGGAACCCGGCTGTTCGGGTCCGAGATGAATACCGTAACTTCCGTAATGACGAGCGGCTGGCCGGCGCGGCACTAGAGTATGTGTATAGGGAGAGTACCGACAGATCTGAAACTCCGAAAGTCCATCAGGCCTTCACCGATGCCTCCGCGAATAAAGTTAGGGCCCAAAAGGGCAGCCAACCTATGAATTTCAATTATGCAGAGCGATTTACTAATACCATTGTTACGAACCGCAATAAGCACGTGTTTGACTCAGTTTTTGCATAAATTTACTCAATTTCACGGAAGAACGCTCATTTCTGTACATTCTTGGCCAACTTGGTTAGAATTGGAATCTGCAGACTGGCAGTGAAATTTTGTGCGTTAGAAGTTGGTTAGAAGGGTGGCTGCACTTTTGGGCCCTAAGCCCTCCATGAACCGATTTGTCGGTACTCTCCCTACAGGTACTCTAGCCGGCGCCAACGAACGGGGAAAGTCCACCCCGTGGATATCGGACGCATCGACCCCCGTCGGCCCAGAAGGATCAAGGTTCAACCCTGCGTTGGTCCGCATTTTCGTATGTCTGTCCGGCCGACAAATTACTGTTGGCGTGGTCTTCGTCCTCTTACCACTTACCACCGCGCGCCATATTGGTGTTTGGCTTCCAACCGTTCTGACCGTTTTAACTGCTTTCCAAGTTTCAGTTGGAATATTAATATCTGTGTGAACACTGTGTTATTTTCTGTTTTGTTTTTGTGTAAAATGTTGATGTATTTGAAGAAATTTGAGGAGATTCTATGGGAGCTGTAGGCAGTTAAGGATTAAGTGTATTGTCAAGGTGAGTGTGTTTATTAGGCCATTTTAGGCCCTCGAATATTCTAGATTTTCAGAATTCGTCACTCATGCATTATTATTCAACTTTTTCCGCTCGGGTAGCAGGCCTTTTTTTCCCGTGTAAATGCGCCGTGATACATAAGCAAAAAGTAAATTTGGCCCCAAAACAATCTTCGATGGCCCCTAAAAATCGAGCTTAATGCGCCATGTGGCTCCTGAAACTCCAAAGAGAGTTTCGAACACTGGTCGAGCAGCATTAACACAACGTGCATTCTGGGGTTCATTTCTGCATTCATTGAAGGGACATTGACAGCTCAGGAGAGAAAATTACATCACGGAATCAGGCCAATCAAACTACCAACAATAACAACATTCGACGATGAAACTCCCAAACCACAAATTTCGTTAGGGATATTTGAAAATGTTCGCTCCTAATTTATTTCTCTTAAAAAAAGAACAAAGTAACACAGAGAAAAATTATCACGAAAGTTGTCAACAATTGACATTGAGTAGTCCTTTGGTATGAAATAGAGCAAGGGGAAGAAAGCGTTTTGATGACGGCGCAGAGATACAACTATTCGTGCTGGATGGATGTCCATGTTGCATCTGCAAAATTGAAGGCGCCATAGCGCGAGACGTGGACTCGCAACGCTCCGCTCGACGCTGTCGATGAAGTGTCGCTCGGATTCGAAAAAGTTAAAAATTGAGGTTAAATTCCGTCTTTCCTATCTGCAGCTGTGTTGCTCATGTAGCCTTTGATGCATTGCTACAAATAAGACCAACCGAATCAACACGACATAGAAATGGGGCAAGGGAAAGGATGCGCGTTGATGACGGCGCAAAGATACAACTATTCGTGCTTGATGGATGTCCGTGTTGCATTTGCAAAATTGAAGGCGCCTCGGTGCAAGGCGTGACTCTCAATGCTCCGCTCGACGCTGCGGATGAGGTGTCGCTCGCATTCGAAAAAAAAGCTTAAAATCGAGGTCCTTAGAAATAATAACATTTTTACTGATATTTTAAACCTAATGTAGATTTCATTGAATTACAAAATCAATATTTTTAATAAACTACTAAAATTATGTCCTATTAGGTCTCTCCTATCCTTCGCAGTGTTGCGAACATATAGCCTTTGAAGTACCACTACAAACGAAAGGAAAATATATGTCAAACTTATATCCTTTAGTAGGGTTTCAGGACATTTTGTCAACGATTTTTTGTCCCTTGCACCTTTTTTGTCCAGTAATTAACGCCCACACGTAAAATAAGCGTCCAAGCGTTATATTTTAGTCGGTATGTAAAATTATGTTGACAATATGGAAATGAGAATTATACTTTCTCCTTTTGAATCATCTTTTTAAATTGTCATTAGTGAATATTTGGTTTTATTTCTATCCTTAAAATATTCGATGTACAATATACCTTATATATTCATAGGTACTTTTTTATTTTTTTAATTTTTTCTTTACGAAATTATTACTTCATTTTGAAAACATTTATGTTTTTACTTAGGATTAATACACTGTAGTAACCTTTTCTATCAATAAAGAAAAATAAAAATACTTTTAAAACGTGGTAAATATTTGTAAAACCTATTCTAAGCGGCATTAATCTCAATGAGCCGCAGTTGTGCCGACAGAAACTGCAAAAATGAATAAAAGAGGGGAAAAAACCAAGAAGCACGCAATCTTTAGTTTTAACCCATTTGTACATCGATCTTTTAAAGTCAAATACGTCAAATTTTGAGCGTTTGGTTGCGTGTACACCTTGCTGCAGCACAATAAAAGCACAAAATGTAAAAGAAAAATTAAAATGCTTTGGAAATCATTAAATTTGACACGGAACTACCAATATATACAAAACACACATTAAATTATTATTCTCCTTTGATAAATTGATACATATTTTCTCCCCATCAATTAAAATGAGAATAATCAATGCAGAGTGTGCAAACATTTCAAAATCATGAGCTAAAAAACGCTGACTATTCGAGTATAAATATTAAAGCCTAACAGAGCGGAGCGGCGTGCTGCCAGCGCGAGAGGCTCACTGGCGCCTACAAACCTAAGTGGATACTTCACGCATTGCACAATGCTTGAAGTATCCACTTAGGTTTGTAGGCGCCAATGCGCGTTTCGCGCTGGCCGCCCGCCCGCCGTGCGGTGGCGCCTGAAGCAACTATTTCACAACAGAGGTGTTGCACAATACGAAATTGAACGTATTAAGAATGACAGGCATCCTTTAAAAGTGCAAATCTTTCCTCGCAAAGTAAATCAAGATACTTATTGTTCACAGGAAAAATCTAAGAGCCTTTAGCTGAGGCAAATCTAGAGGTTCAGGTATGGCAAGGTGGGAATTTCTTGAAAGATAATTAAGTCCTGTTACACCAAAGAAGTGTAGAGAGTTTTAGTGAATTTTGTCTCATGGAAATAACGCTCCCCCATTTTTACCAAAACTCTCAACTATATATTATTCTCCGTTGGACCAAAACAGACAAAACAAAAAAAAAACAAGCAAACCCTCATTCTTCCAAGACATTATACATTTTCATCCAAAAACGTCGTGAGCATTTGTCGTTTGTATTTATATGTGGGCCAATTAACTTTGGGTCTCAACTGACACATGGACCAAAACTCCCTTGCCGAAAAAACGCATGAACGTAAATTGCTGGAAAAAACAGGTGCGCGGACAAAAAATCGTTGACGAAATGTCCTATAACCTTTTGTAGTAATGCTCCACTCATGATACGTTGTGAATCTGAGTAAAGGAAAAATGAATGGTACTCCTCGTTTAATACCTTTTACTACTTATCACTAATATTACTATAATATTACATTACTTTATATACTTACATTAGATTTTATAGAAATTAATTTTATTTTTGCGAGTGGCAATGCCTAGAAAACTGGGCGAGACGTCCCGGCTTGGCCTTAATTTATGTCTTCCAGCCTCGTCTCCGCGTTATTTCCTTGTCTTCCCTATATTCTTTGCGATACCTATACGTACACTGAAAAAAAAAGGATTGCTAATTCACCGATTTAGGGTGGAGCAAAATTTGCCTCACTTCGTAAAGCTTTCTTATCCGTGCACGGTGTTGAATCAAGTGAACGACTAGCACGAATTGCTACACCGATTTGCTACATCTGCGCGCCTTCATGCAGTTAATCTTGCATCGAGTGGCTTGGAAGTGTAACTGCATTTTTTGGGATTGGTACTTTGCGAACAGTAAAAATAGCTCAATAGTTAGGCTGAAATAGCGAAATTTACGGAAGAATAACTAAAAAGGTAACAGACGTAGCTTTTCAGAGAGCAAAATCACCTACCCGCGTGTGTGTAAGTTAGCTGAAATTTGTGTAGCGATTTTACCTGCATGGTTTGCACGTTCGTTTTTTCGCTACACCATGCCATGAAATACCCGCGTGCACGGCAATTTCAGCAATATTTTTTTTTCAGTGTAGCAAAGTTTTGAAATAAAATCAGGCTTAAAGTTTAGGTTAGACATTTTTTAATAGAGATGTCGCAGGCAAATAGTAAAATCAGGCAGTTTGTCAAATGCCTATGCAAACAGTCAAATATTCTGACTTTTATTGAAATTCTGATTTTTTTCCTAATTTCAGACCAAATAATTCATTGCTCCTGCAAGAAAAAATTCTCAGAAAAAATTTGCACACACAATAATATTTTAAACAATTTTTAGCTACTGATGAGACACTGATCTTGAAATTTTCAGCATGTTGTAAAATACAGAATTTTTGGGATTTCAACATTAAAAAATATGAGAAGCAATTGAAAAGGAAGAGACAAAAAGAGTTCGTAGGTTTGATGAGCTATTTTTCCGAAAATAGTAAAACATCGTGAACTCTTCGGCATAAATTCACAAAATTTTGTAGACCGTTAAAATTTGACTATCTAGGCATTTGACAAAGTGCCTGATTTCACTATTTTCCTGCAACGGAGACACAACAAGTCCTTCCTAATGTTATTCAAAGAGACATAAAAGAAGGAAAAAAGAGGGGAAAAAACTGACAACCTGGTCGATGAAGTGTGAATGGTCGGAAACACTGCTCTAGTGTTTGCTAAATCCTCAAACCTATCCCCCCCTCTCTCTAAGCTCGTACAGAAGAGCTGACTATGAGTTTGACTCAAGTGGTGTGAAAGCGGCGGCCGCCAAGGATCGGATGCGGAAGTGAAATGGCTAAGTTCGATTCCTTATCGAGAAGTGTGTTTTTGAATCTATTGGTTTGTCTATGTGCAACGACCGTTCACTCCAACACCCGCGTAAAACGCTACCTCACTTACCCACCCAACTCAGCTATCGTGGTGAGTATACATCGTAATATCTAATTAGGTAAAGTGGGAGTTTTATTATCTACGGTAAGAAAATTAACTAGATCAGTTGTACCGATTTTAACAGAAACGTATTGAGTGGCATTTTGAAATAAAAAAACGCAATGGAAGTTTCGAATTCAACTAGTCGTGAATGTTCTCCTGCCAAACATTCTGAGTCGCTAAAAACATTTCGAACTTGATTATACTCATTAAACGTTGTCCTCAACATTGAGTCTCCTATTGAACTTCAAACCTCTTCCTCTCGGTTCAAACTTGATGCAATTCGGTTTGTTTCTGTTGAACTTGGCCCGATTCTTGAAGGTAAATGTGAATTTAAGAAGTTGGAGAGATGGTGCTGGGTCCACACCATTTCGCGGGGAAATCAAAGCCAAGAAGTTTCAAAAATTATAATTAGAGTCAAAAATAAATTATTTTCAGTTTATTTTTGACTTTAATTATAATTTTTGGAACTTCTTGGCTTTGATTTCTCCGGGAAATGGTGTGGACCCAGCACCATTTCTCCGACTTGTTACGTTCAGTATTCGGGCCACTTCTTAGTATTTTTTTCTCATTTGAGAATTTAAGCAGATGTGGTCAATTTCTTTTACTCGGATTTTGAATATTTTTCTAGTGACACGCACTCACGATTGTTTCTTAAGATGAAAATGCTTGTTCCCAGTTTTTCGTAATGGTGACTTTACCACAGATCTCATAGACTAACTTGTTATCTCTTTTTTAAAGCGGGCTTTTATCCATATACTTAGCAATGTAATAATTTAACGAGTTTGCCATGTATAAAATTACAACTATGACTCTAGGTCAATACAATAGGTCCCGGGTTTAAATCCCAGTGGTGGAGAAAAATTTTCATGGAACTGACGAGTGGATCTGCTGCAGAAACAGATTCCTGAAAATTTGAGAGCCTAGAGCATGGATGTGCACTAACCCTAACCCGATGCTCATTCAAGATTGCAGAATCCTCAAATGGACGAAAGACCTCAAATAACTTAAGAAGAAGAGGAAGGAAAAAAAAGAAAAAAAAGTACAACTACTCGTATTTTAAGCTGATTGAAGTTTGAAACTGTTGGTGTTTTTGTCACTTGAATTAACTGTGGCAGTTGCTTGGGTCGTTTTTTTATTTTAAAATATTCAAATCATAAAATTGAACCGCACTAAACAAATCCGAAAAACTCCCTTTTTCATGTAATTCTGGATTTTTTATTTCCTGTTTTGCATGAATAAGAAGGATAATCAAAACTAGTTTACCTCTAAACGATTTTGACAGCTTTTGATAATCATGTAGTGTGGTGTGACAATCCACTATTTAAGATCTATCTTTCAATACCTTTCTGTGGGTATTCATGAAATATTTCACGATTTTATTTTTCACAAAATTTCGCCAATCGGCAGCAGCACGATTTTGTAACTGCACTTTTCTGAAATCTGAGTCGATGTTCCTTCGTTCTCTCATGTTACTGTCTTTTCAGTTGACCATGTCTTTGCTGAAGATCATGCCTCTTGGCCACGGTGCCAACTCGATGACTGAGTTCGATCTCATTCACCCTTTACCAGATGGAACAAAACAAGCAGTACCGAGTCGTAACAAGCACAAAAGAGAACGGAGGGACCTTCTCCAGCAGCTGGAAACAATTCTTGAAGAGTAAGTTTTCACGGAAGCACGATGCAACGAGGGTATATGTAGGGTATCCGAAATTTGATGTACCACAATTTGGGGGCTTATTTTGGAGGTCAACATAAGACTCTTATTCTCCTGAAGTTCCTCTGAAATCGGTTTCCTGTGGCGCTAGAGTCCATCAAAGTCGTGGATTTTTTCCAAAATTCGTTCATAACTCTTTTCGAAGGGCCAAATGTCGAGTGAAAATTGAATTACAAGGAGGAACATTACAAAGTGGAAATTGTGCATGCAAGAATTCGCTGTACGACGAAAAAGTTACACCCATTTTTACGGTACCACCACTTTTCCATAAAAGCGTCGACCTATGAAAGCACAAGGAATAAAGAGCACATTAAAAAGTACTCGCTTCACTCATTCAGACTTACATTTGACGCATTGAAAAAAAGTTTTATACCAATTTCAGGAAAGAAGTCACAACTTTAACGGGCTCCGGCGCAAAAAAAAATCGATTTTGAAGAAAATTTCAAAAAGAAAAAGTTTTATTTTGACTTTAACCCTAGTCTGCCTGAGTGGGGTCAGATTGACCCCACGGGAGTTTCAACTCTTTGCCATTTCTCGTGGTATGCACGAAACTTTTTGTCCTTCACAAATAGCTCTACAAAAACATCTAGGAACACGATTTTGAAGGGGGGGGGAAAGAAAAAATGTGCATGAGAGATCAAAAAATTCACGAGTACGCCTAGAAAGCCTGAGCGGGGTCAGATATCCTTATAACATATATTTTACCATTTAGCATCACAAAAGCTTACTTTGAAGGTGTATTCATTTTTCTCTTTTTAATTTTTTTCAGAAACTTATAAAACAAGCAAAATTTTTCAGATTTTTTTCGTTTTCAGTATTTAGTAGCCCTATGATTTTTTTTTCTCATGCTGAGAACAACATGGCAACATGTGTATGATAAAATGGTTGCATACCCTGCGCCGTGTTTTTTTAAAAATTAGATATGCTTTATGGTTAAGGCCTGTAAGGTTAGTGCACTGATATTAACTAAAAACATGAAAAAAACATAGCTAACTAATTGATTTTCAGCTGGGGTCAAATTGACCCCGCCCAGGCTTTCTCGTTGGTTCAGAGGCTCAGGCAGACTAGGGTTAAAAGTGGTTCCTATGAGTTATAGCGCATTAACCAATAGGTACTTTATGCTGAAATGAAACAGAAATTTTTTACAATGAAATTTGTCATATTTTCACATGATTTGGTCAGTGCAAAAAACCGATTTCAAAGCATCAATGAAAGATAAATGCACCAAGGAGACAGGTTATTTGCAATGCAACGGATAATTGCAACTCATTTAAACTCATTTCGATGGGAGCCCCTTCAATTAGTGGAAAGGCAACATACACAACACTCCGATACAGTGGCAATATTCCACCATGTAATCGCAGTCAGTGTTAATGGCACACGTCAATTTTAAAGAATCGTTGACTGATGCTTTCATCTTATACTTAAGCCGAAAATAGTGAATAATGTCCAAAACTACGGTCCAGCGCATACACGTGGTTTTTTCTTCCACTGGTTCCTCAGTGATTAAAGTCATTGCAACCAATTGAAACGTTTGCATCAGTTGAGGACTTTTTCGGTAAAATGGAGTAAGAAGCCTACAATGCTCAAAGATTGGCGTTTTCCGGCAGACGATATTCATTCATAGTCGATTTTCTTTCTAACGATAGTGAGAAAAACTCGGCTCAAATTCAGAGAAAAATTCATAGCAGAACTATCGGATAAGTTTTACTTACAACTAGAGAAGTAAACGTGGCACAATCTTAGCACCAGCATTAGAAGCCTCATTCACCCTTTCACCGAAAAATGACTCAATTACTGATGAATCCATGCCTGATTCCTGAAGAAACCCTGGAATGAACTACCGACGTGGATGACGTCATATACAGCTATTTTTACGAGGCGATATTTCTGTTAATGTCGGATGGACGTGAAAATGTTCCGTTAGGGCAGATCTCATTATATTTGCCAGTCTTCAGGATTAATCGTCAAGTATGATTCTGTGACCAGCGCAACTGACCCATTTAGATAAGACTTCAAGTCCTATTCAGCCAGTTCTCTATTTATGATGGCTCGAGAGCACAGGTGACTCTATGCAGTGCTGGAGACTTGAACGAACGGGTATGAAAAAGCAAGCAATGGCCGCAAGTTCGAATATTGTTCACTGTTTTCTTAGCAGTGTGAGATTGATAACCACAGCTAAATGGAATGCTCCATTTGCTAGTGTGTGTGTGCGTGTGTTTTCGTGGGTAGAATTCTCTTTCAAGCCTCAAGCCTTTGCATACTTTGCAACGAATTATTTGCGCGTTCAATACAATCCATTTACAATTATATGTTGCCAATCTGGCAACCTCAACCATCAATACACCATGCTGTAACTTGTGCGAATGACCCATTCGGTCTACTGCGTCTTTTCTTTCAACGGTTTGCCACGGTGGAAAAACGTCGTTTGAAGACTCAGATGTTGCCAGATTTCTTCTGTTAAAAACATGTTTTTGAGGAAGCTAGGCATCTAATTTCCTTTTAATTTGCAGCAATATTCGATTCAATTGTTCAGAAAATTTTTGAACGTTTATAAAATTAGAGCTTACAAGTTTTCAAGGATATTCGGCAATGCTCGAGTTTTCATACGATATTTTTCCTTGACGCTTCTGCGGTATTGATATGCGAACACAATAAAATTATGCGGGTTGTAACGCCTTGATGCAACTATTCGAACTCTGTGGACACCCGTGTTGCATTCTAAAAATTGAAGGCACTCCGGTCATGCTTGCCTATGAAGTATAGTGCTCGCAGCCACACGCTGAAACGACTTGGTGTGGCTGTAGTACACAGTGGCGTGGTGTGCTTTGCGATACATCGATTGTTATGCCATTTAAACCTATGGAAAAGGATCGATAGACAGGAAAACAGGGAGTTCGCAGCAAACACCTTAATAATCGATTCTTTACCATAGGTTTAAATAGCATAACAATCGATACGTCGCAATTCACGCCAAGCCACTGGTAGTATATGGTGTCCTGCGGGCTGATTGTTGAAATTTTGTGTTTGTCGATCGGTTAGCACAAGGAGAATGGAATCATTCGATTGGGTCGGTGCTCTAAATTGGAAGCATCTGTCAAACGGAACTAAGCGCCAAATTGAGTTCCTTTTGAGGATTTTATAATCATTGCGAGAATAGGACGGAACGAGCATCGCGCTCCACATGCAGCACCCGCCAATCCAAGCCCCCCTCTCCCTTCCTCCCCCAACGGCGCTTAGTTCCGTTTGATAGAAATACGTCCAGTTGAGAGTTTTGTTGTACCGATAAAACATGGATTAATATGACGGGATTTGAAAGGGTGGATAAAGTATCGGAAACTCAAGAGGTGCCTCTGGCTTCTTATTGATTACACCATTTGATGACACAACAAAACGCACAAATCGAAGCACCGACCAATCACATAACTTCATTCTCCTTAGGATTGTCCTATCTGGTGGAAGAACACAAAATGTTAACGATCAGGCTGCTGATATGTGAAATAGGTGCAAAAATATATTTTCCTGTCCTCTAGCTTCAGTTTTTTTTCGGAGTATTTCATCTTTCCTCATATTCGTAGCGGTGCGCCTCACGCTGCTGTGTGCAGTGCTTCACGCCGAAAGCGCCTTCCATTTTGTCACATGCAACATGCGTGTCCACTGAGTACGAGTATCAAGAAGATTTTACTAACATCATGGAATGTGTTGCTCATGTAGACCGAGATGTTAGCATCGGAGGCCCTCCCCGCCCAGTCTTGTTTGACCCGATTGTCGTTTACATAAAATATGTCGTTTATATCATGTTTATATTACATATATCGTATTGCATAAAATTGAGAATGAAGGCCAATTTAAAATGCTAAATATTTTGAAGTTCTTTGGTAAAAAAAAAATTAGTACACGGTGTCCGAGACCACCCGTGCCAAGCATTTTTCTCCATTAGTTTAGTTTTTAGATCGGATGATGTTTGGGACGGGAGACTTTAATACCTACTGCCGTGCTACGGAAGGACGCCGTATGAACATTCAAGAGTCGTCGAATTCCCTCGAAAATAACGTGTATTTATTAGGAAAGTTATGCATAGGTATTTCTCTTCGAAATTTTCAGGTACTTTAGATTATAGATTGCGACAAAATTGTCTGAAAATTAGTAAAAAATATATTCACAATTTTCCCCGTAAATTCGTTTTTTTATTGAAGGAATTTTGGCAAACCTAGATGTTCATATGACGTTTTTCCTTAGCACGGCATAATAGGAGAGACCAGAGAGATTTGACATTCATCGTTCTCTAGTCCCTCACCCCCACTTGAGGTCCATCTCTATTTTGATCCCATGGTTCCAGACATCAACCGATCTCATAAAATCGAGAGAAAACCCTGGCACAGCCCTAGGAGCAGTGGCTGTTGAGAAAGGATGTAAAAAACTTGTAAATTTTAAGAAACTTTAAAATTTACTTCAAAACCACTTGAAAATTACTTTTAAAAACTCTTGAAATATTCGTAACAGGAAACCCTTTTTGTAAATTTAAGTAAAATTTACGTATTTTTTTAAAAAATTTCCTGCGGGCAAAAACGAGGGAAAAAAAGTGGTGGCCAGAAAAGTATAAAAGGAAAAGTTGCAGCTCATAAAAATTGAGGATGTAGTTTGTTGATAATTACGTAAATTTGACGTTTTCTTTTGATTAAAATTACACTATTTTTTATTTAAAAAAAATTCCCCAAAAAGGTTTCCTAAAACGAGTATTTTAAGAGTTTTTTTACATAAGATTTACGAACGCTTAAAATTTACACGTTTTTTACATTTCTTTGAACAACTTTATGTAGAAATTTTTTAAGAGCCATTGCTACTAAAAAGGCCTCCTTTTCGTGTCAGCGATTTCAGAAGTGCCGGGCGCTATCATTATCTGATTTTCTTCTGATGTTTATGACAGGCAGGAGTTTGGCGGGCGATCGTGCATACAAAAAGCTATTTGTGAGGCTGGTCGTTTGACAGTTGATGCTAACGAAGATAATCTTGTCAAAGAGTTATTCCAGCTGGTTTTCAAGTAAGTAGCAGACCTCTCATTGGGTAGCAGGTTAAAGGAAGAAGTATTAGTATTACTTTTGTAACCAGGGCTGGATTTACCTACATACCGCCCATGGGCCGCCTGTATTTTGCCGCCCCTTCTCATTCGTTTTGAAACATCGATACAAACCATCAAGTGAACGTGCCGGAAGAGGAGGGGTGTATGAGACGCGTTTACTAGCGTTGGGCACATTTTTTGTGAAAGCCCTGTCAACATTAGCAAAAGTTCACGGAACTTAGCGCGAAAATAAAGTTCCGTAAACCTACCTCTGTGTGGACGAGGCCTTTCATTCATAAGAAAAGAGCGAAAAAATTATGAAAGAACATGAATGTGGATTATGATTTTAATTTCCTCGACCGCGGCAGCCGCACTTTGACTGGCGCAATGCGTGAAGTATCCCACGCCGACCGCACTCTTTTTGACGCAATGCGTGAAGTATTCATGCAACCTTGTAGGCGCTAATATGTGTATCGTGCTGACCGGCTTGCCGAGGGCTCCTCCTTTCCATCTCAAGTCCTCGTCATCATTACTCTCTGCGCCGTGCCGCTCTAGGCCAAATTTCGTGTTTGGTTTCTTTTTCAACTAGACTTAGTCCAGGCAATAAAGGATTTTACCTTGCAAAATTTAGGTGAAATCAGGTTATGATCGATTCCTATGTAATTTTTTACGCTGAATCCAAATTTTTGGTTTCCCAACAAATTTTCCTTGTGCTAACTCCGGAAAATCGGAAAAACCGCGAAAAATCACGTTTTTCCGCGGTTTTCCCGAGATATCTCTTTTCCCGTGCGATATATCGAGAAAATGGTTATTTCCAAAAATAAAGCTGATAAAATTTCCTATAAAAATGATCTGAACGTTTTTCTCATACGTCCACTAGGGAGAGAGCTGGAGCCGTGGAAAGCTCTAAAAACTCGTAAAATCGCGATTTTCCACGGTTTTTCGCCATTTGTGTGCAATAAATTTGTTCTTTCGCAAAATTTCAGGATAGTCTTACCTTAAAAATTAATGCTGCCTACTTTTAAGACAAAAATGATGCCAATTTTTTCTTTATAGGTCCATTGGAAGCGGTTGTAAAGCCGTGAAAAGCCATGAAAAGCTCGAAAATCGCGATTTTCCGGCATATTTTCGTAACAAATCCGTTCCTGTCCAAAAAACTCATTTAAAGTGACTTCAAAATTCAATCTTATAAAATTGTCAACATACATACGTAGAATTTGCTCCCATGGCGCGCCCTCGTGCTCTGCGACATCCAAACGCCAGGTGTGCTTATCTA